GGAAAAGTAGATTATCACAGTCTTTCTATTGGCTGATCAAATCAATGGCCTTTTTGTTCATGGGCGATGTGGCTCTCTACCCAAATTTCCATTCCATCAAGGGGCGGCGCAAACAGTTGAGTATAACAAAAAGTATTTTGTGAGTTGTGTTCCAGATGAGTTTTCTTTTACTTATTTAGAAGTCAATCAGGTGAGGCCTGCAAGAAAATATAGTCATTCCCTGCCACTACCTAATGATGCTGATTGAAAGGTCTTTTTCCACTGTTTTTTTTTTTTTTTTTCATCTGCATTCACCTTTAGTTTATAATCTGAAAGAGTTTAGACAGGTCAAACCCAAGAAATTACAATATAAAATAGAGATTGTTGTCAATTCAAATGAGTTTGGGTTTGTTGTCTAGAACAAGTCCAGGTTTGTCGTCTTGGCTCAGAGCTCATTGTTCCATGTACATGCTGCTTTCCTGAAGTGGTGAGTATATCCTCCCACTGAACATGTCTCACTCCATGCCAGGGAATTAGAAACTCTCTAATTATAGAGCCCATGGGTGGATGCTGGGCTGGTGAGGGGACTGGAAAGAATCTAACAGGTAGTGAGCAGCAAACGGGAGATTTTGCATATAGTGTGATGCTTCGAGCTTTTAGCTTGAATAGATTTCCAAAATTGGTGAGGAATGTTTGATCCGTTTTTTTTTTTGTTTGTTTGTTTTTTTGGAGTGCATTGAAGAGCAAGAATAAAGCAGCATCATAACTGATGGCATGAGCTGTCTGGTAGACTTTGTCTCATTCATGAGACATTTTGAGCCATGGTGGCCATGTTGACCGTGGCATAAATAGTCCTGTTTTGTCGCCTACACAGGAATCAAACTGTTCACTAAAATTCAGCTTCTTATTAGTCCACGACAAGCAGCAGCAAAAAGAAAAAAACTTGCTGGCGATACTATGTAATACAAGAAAGTTGGTGATGAACAGAGGGCATCTGACAACACTAATATGTTTGACGGGTGTTTACTTTATATTGGAGGAGTTCAAATCATTATTGAGATTTTTTACCTAAATATTTGGTGATCAAATTCAAAATGGTGAAGGTAATAAAACCACTGATTTTCACCACCCACCTAAACACTGCTGCAGTCCAAACTCAACCCCCACATGGTCACATCACTCTGCAACCCTGTCCTACTTCACCTCCCAAGCCAAGCCTGACATGCCTTCAGTGCACTCACTCAATGCACTTTACTGGAAACATTTCAGGATGACCTAATGCAGCTATGAAGCAATTCTGTTTTTTTTTCCAGAACTATAAATGTCATACCTCAGTGATTAATTAAATTAATGTGTGTTTGACTAAATGTCACATTAAACCTGCAGTATGCAACTTTTATAAAAAATGTTGGGGGTTTTTGGGTTGTTGTTTTTTTTTTACATATTTGCTCAAATCTGTGAAAAGATGCATCTCCTCCCTGAGCTGCTATTGACATCTGAAGAAATGCACAATTCCCAACCAAAAACAATCAGAGCGAGGAAGAGAGTGTTAGCGCTGTCACTCAACCTCATGTACTCGTTGCTCAATATGCTAAAGATTGAGAAACAGCTTACCGTTGCAGGAAAATCGTTTATTCGCTGTCATGCTAACTAGCCTGAACATTCACAACAGGCTCTGCTGGCTGCAGCATAGCAGAGAGCAAACTTAAAAAAATAGTATTATTTTCCCAGGACATCGACATAAAAGTGAGTGATTTAAGCTTCACACTCCTCATCTATGTCTAAGAATCATATTTTGAATTAAGAAAGGAAGTATGTCTTGGATGTCCTACGTCTTGACATCATTTTCTATTTAAATTCCCTGCTGGATCAGTGTTGCCAATAAAGTTTTTTTTTTTTTTTAACTTTTTCATGTAGCCAGTAATCCAATACCGCCAGCAACTCTCTCAATAAAAGGAACTTTCGGGAAATCTGGCCATTTTCTTGGTGTTTTGGGGCACTTGGAGACCGAAGTGAAAGCACATATTGTTCTTAATCTTCTTAAGGAGCAGCAGTGGACCCTGTCCCAAAGCGCCTGCATGTGGCACGCTGCGCTCCTTCCCATCTGCAGTCAGAGCAGATGTTCATCGCTCTGCATCCAGATTGCAAAAGAGTTGCATGTGTAGGAGCCCGCCACTGGCTGATGGATGTAACTGCAACATTTTCTTTGCCTTAAATATCTACCAGGCAGTACTTAAAATAAAACCCAACTAACTTTAGTGTGGTGTCTCTTTTGCCGAGGCCAAAGAAAGGAGGAGTCTGAAGTTGCAAAGTTAATTTTTTTTTAATTAAAACTGCAACAGAATAAGGTTCATTTGTAGTTATCAACATTTTTGCTTTTTTTTTTTTTTTTTACAACCGTTTCTCTCTTCCACACCATCCAGTTTTGCTAAATGTATACTGTTGGCAAGACTTTTCTGGATGGATGACAACACTTACATAAGCATGAAGGAAGTCTCCAATGTTTCTGAACTATTTCTGTGGCAGAACTTTGAAAACGAAAAGGTGATGATGATGATTTATTTTGGACTGTAAGTGGCTGTTGGCCGTTAATAGTGCTAAAGGTACAGGATGTATGTTATTCTATCGTCTGATTTTGAGTAAATGTCAATGGGTGTTTGCACCCTTACTGTAAAGTTAAATTTAAAACACAAGACTGGCTTAAAAAAAAAAAAAAAAAAAAAAAAAAAACATTTTCTTGTACCTAGCAATTTTCATTTTTCTGTAAAAAAAAAATCTTGACAAAAAATGAAAGAGTCCAGTTGCATCAATCACCTGATCTGGCATTTTATGGTCAGAGGGCCACAAAAAATCCTTCTGCTGGCTGCCAATTGCATGTTGGCCACACCATGGACAGCCATGTTTTAAACCACTTAGACTCATCATCAGGGTCTATAAATGTCATCTGGCCTGGGGAGGCATTCGAGTCTCCCAGTGTGAACTTGAGGATGTGGTGGTGGAGATTCATGTCTGATTTTTTATGTTCTCCTTGTGACTTCATCATGGATAACCGTAAGACAATAAACAAGAACTGGAAAGCAGTTTGAGAGTCAAGAAACCTTTTATTTATGAAATGTAAAATGACCAATATCAATGCATATTTAAGCAAGTGTTGGACCTCAAAACTAGGCAAGCATATTTCCACCAGCTGAAACTTTACTTTTTCTCTACACTATTTGCAGCTTTTTCCAAAACATTTTGAAAACTGAGAATTTTTTATTACAAAAACATGTTGCTTCATACATATACACTTTGTGCTGAGATGGGCATGTTCTGACACACTTGCTATAAGTATTGAAATAATACATAAAAGAAACAGTTATCACAAATTTGGATTAATTTGGCAATGGTTAGAGAAGAAAAAGTTAGTTTTTCTTTTTTCACTGTTCCTAAAGTCTTTTTTATGAAATAAAGGGTGTTCTTATAAAATGTTTTATGATGCTGTCAGGTGGGCAAAGAACAGGGAACAAAGCCAGGCACAGAGGGACATGGACAGCCAGGCAGAGTGTGTCAGTGTTATAAAACATCATGCTGCTCCCCATAAGATGCTATAAAAACAGAGATTTTGTCATGGTGGTGCATTGTATTGTTTTGCTGTATGAATATGGAGAACAGCTGTATCTATTTGTGGAAGCTCTTTTCATATTTGGAGCGAGAGGAAAGGATCATAGGCAGGAGGAAAATATGAATCTTCAAATAAAAGCAGCAGGAAGAGGAACTCGGCAAATGAAGCTGAAACTTTAGGGGCACATATAGGAACTTTTGGAAAAAAAAAAAAAATTGCATAGACAAAATAATTTGATCCCCTGTGGATTTTGTACGTTTAATCAGTCGAAATGAATGGAAAGCTTATTTTTTTAAAATTGTTTTTAAAAGGAATGCCAATCAAATCTACAAAATAACATTATGCATAGCTACTAAAATTAAATTTGCAACATTTTGCTAAATGGAAGGGAAAAACATTTAGGTCCCAGAAAAATCATGACTTTTTTTCAAATCTGTCTTTCTTATTCAGAAAGACAGATTTGTCCTGGATCCTCTCTCATACTGTTTTCTTCAGCTCCCCTCATAGCTTTTTATATGTTTTAGCTGAGAGTGGAGATGGCCGTGGAAGAAGGTTGATGTGTCAAATGAACCATCACCTGAGTTGATTTGGCCACAGGTTTTCTATTGTTATCCTGTTTAATTACAATGGCAGCCTATTATTCATTACAAAAAAGATTCACCACATTTTAATTCAAAACTTCTTGGTGTTTTAGCTAGTCACTGATGTAAACCACGATAGCTAAAGTTCCAAAGCCCATTTGCCAGAGAAACAAAAAATCTCTACCGTACTTAAATGGAATCTATTACACAAAATACACTTTTTGCACATTTCATTTTTTTTCCGGTTCTACTGGTTCTATAAACAAATAAAAATCTCACTTTTTTGTGGCAGTAATTGACATTATTTGGTGTCTGGAAAAAAAAAGGTTTCATAAACCTCCCGAGTGTGAACTCGCAATCGCCAAGGCATTGCCCCGTTACTTAGCAAACTCGGCAAAGCGCAACCTTTCACATAGCAACCCAAGTGAAGGGTCTGTACAATGGCTGCTGTAAAAGTCAAGTGTTTCGTTGTTGACTTACCATTCAGAAGCTGCTGCTGCATCCTTGCTGGTTATGCAGGAGGATCCACTTCTGCTTTTAGGTTTGATTCAGAGTAAAAAAAAAAAAAATATGGTTGTAAAGCTGCACATGTGTTTGCTGCCTTGTTCACATTTGAGTGTCAAAGTTGAGTCTTAGTTTGAAATTATACACAATGAGAAATAGCTATGCACATAAATGGATGATAGTAATTGTGATGGGTGCTGTGCATTTTTTATTAATCGGCATATCTGGATTTAATTTTTGTACACTTTATTGTCATTTTAATGAATCTGTATTTCCGTATTTTTCCATGTGTGAATATGACCATCTTTTCTTTTTTTTTTTTCCTATCCCAGAATTCTTCCTGGAGCTTCTGGAGAACACGGAGCGGTCCCTGAATGAGATGTTTGTGAGGACCTACGGCAAGCCTTATATGCAGAACGCGGAGGTCTTTGAGAACCTGTTTGCCGAGCTCAAGCGCTACTACACGGGAGGGAATGTTAATCTGGAGGAAATGCTTAATGACTTTTGGTCCCGGCTGCTGGAGCGCATGTTCACACTGCTGAACTCCCAGTACGTCATCACTGAGGACTATCTGGAGTGTATCAGTAAGTACACGGACGAGCTCAAGCCATTTGGAGATGTTCCCAAGAAGCTCAAGGCTCAGGTTACCCGTGCATTCATCGCTGCACGCACATTCGTCCAGGGACTCTCTGTAGGTCGGGAAGTGGCCCAGAGAGTGTCAAAGGTAAAGTTCTTTACCAGTTTAATTGAGATAAATTTTTACTTGATTGTAAATGAATGCAAATATGCTTTGTCCTGTCGCCTTAAAGAGACTGAATTTGATTTAGGTTTCTCAGTCGGGTGGAAAATATTTACCATCTGACCCCAAATGAAATTAAAATCCTATCCTAAACGAATACATGCTTAAAAATTTTCTTCTCGATGAATTCCTGCACTCTTTCTGACTTATGTACGCTCTTAATGTAATCATCTCCAGGAAATGGGAGACTCACAGCAGCCTGTTCTGTCCCTGTCTGGAAAACAGGTTTGAAGGGTGTGTGGATTTCTCGGGAGAGTTCTCCCGACAATGAAAGTGAAGAGAAAAGCATTTCTGCTATCAAGGTTTATTGCTCTCTCGCCTAATATTTGTTCACACGGCATACAAAAGCCATTAATCATGGTGTTGGAGTCGTTTCCAGTTTGATGCAACATAGTGTTGGTGCCACAGCCTTGGGATGGAGCAGCTCTGATTACCTACAAAAGTTAGATAAAAGAAAAAGCAAGAGGCTAAGCCTTAGATGAAGTCACATTCAGCAACAACAAAGCTGTTTCTGAAAGGCATCTTAAGGTTTGAAAGAAACGATGATTCAATACGCTGCAAGCCGTTCCGTTTACCCCACTTGACCCCCCCGCCCCCAACAATCATTTCAATTCAATTATCAGCCATATAATAAATATTAACCGAGCCTTTGTACAGTTGAAGCAGAGGCCAGTGGAAATGTTGTAACCCTCAATTATCGGAGACGTACGGACAGAGAGGAAGCAGATACCCTGCTCTTCTCCACATAATCCACGATTCATTTCAGGCTGTCCTCACCACAGTGAACTCGGTGAACCTAAAAGATATTTCCTTCACTTCAGCTTCACCTCCCCTCTACAGTAACAGTTGCGAGGCTCATTTAGGAGCAGTCGCAGAGGATGTGTTGTTAGCACGTGTTTACTGGGTTACACCCCACGCTCCTACCGAGCCAGCATGTCCCGACTTCACCTCTTGACATTTCAGCGGAACCCTGAGATGCTGGTCAGGTGTCTGGGACTGCAGCCCCTTTGATCCGTGACGTATAAACTCATCATGACAGATTGAGGGAAAGCATAATGAAAAGAGACACCCTGCTGGAGGCAACCGTTTCACGGTACCACCAAGACGGGACAGCCAGGCTTATTGCTGCAGAGATTTACAGTTCACCGAATTAGAGAGGGTGATGTCGAACTTGTATTTCTTTTCTGCTGCAGAAGTGAGAAAAATATAACTGCAGCTACAGCTTCCACAAAGCGCTTTGGAAAAATATGCATTCCCCTTTACATTTTTCCTGTTTGGTCTCGTCACAGCCACAAGTTATACCGTATGTTTGTAGATTTTGTGTTTTAGACCACCTGAAAGTATGGTTCTAACTTATTCTTTATTTTCAAAAATCTGAAAAGTGAGACTTGTGTTTGCTTTTATATACCAATATTTGGTAGGGCCATCAAGTCCATGTCTTGTGAAGTGTATCTTTGACTGTTTGAGTTTGCGAACTTAAACTTTCAAGGCTTGTCACAGATTCTCCGTTTTAATTAGGTCTGGATTCTAACTAGGACATTTGCAAACATGAAAATGCTTCGATCTAAACCATTCTCTCGTTGCTCTGGCTCTATGTTTGGGGTCGTTGCTCTGCTGGAAGTTGAACTTGAACCTCTGTCTCACTTTCAAGTCTTTTTCAGCCTCAAAAAGGTTTTCTTTCAGCATTCCCATCAATCCTGACCTTTGTCCTGTGCCCACTGAAGAAAAGCATGCCCACTTCATGATGATGCCTCCACCATATTTTACCACAATATTGTCTTATTTGATAGGTACCTTTCTTGCACGGCCTATCAGCTATGGTGATAGTTTTGGTAGGGATGCATTTATTCTTTCTACTTTTGGAGGGGAAACAGTTTCACCATTGACTTCTCCAGGGTGAAGCTGTTTGTGAATCTGTTCTCTGACGTTCCCTAGAAAACCTCTGAGGCGTCAAAAGAATTTACACTCAGATTAAACTAATCACAGATGGACTCTATGTGGGAAGTAAGTCGCACAGTAGAATCGGAGTACAGAAGGCAGAATACAAATGCACTCCACACTGATTTTTGCTTTGTTTCTATCCACTTTACAGCTGAATGATACTTTGAATTTGAGTGGTTTATCATGTGAAATCCTATATATGATAATAAATAAAATCCTTTTTTAATTAGAACATTTTTTTTTCTTTTTTTTTTTTTTTTTGTGGTTTTTAGACCACAAGATATCGATTTTACAGGGGCTACTTTATATTTTGCACATAATTTAATCCTACACTTTTAAAATCTGATTGAATTTATGAAGAATTTATTTATGAATAAAAAACCAACAATATTGAATTCTAAAGGCAATTATGAGAACCAACAGCATATCTGGAGTAAAAAGCAAATAACCTTGATCCTTAAAAGAAAAAAAAAAAAGTATTATTTGATTATTATTTAGGTCGGCCTGCATTAACTGTTTCAGTTCGTGATTAGAAAAAAAATAATCTAAGTTGAGGGTAAAATGTTTGAGCTCCAAACTTTGTTAAGTTCTGGTCTGCCAAAACTGGTTTTTGCCAATTTTTCTTAATATTTTAAACATATTTCCACTTGCTAGATGGGACATTTTAAACTAAACATAGATATAGTAATTTTATTTTTATACTAAATAAAACAATAGTTATTTGTTTTCAACAATGGTCTGCAGTTTCAAAATGCAAAGAGTTGCATTGCATTTTGAAATTGTTTCTGTCTCTGCATGGAGACACATAGGGCTGCCTCTCTATGAATCACGCAGAAAAGAATCTATACAGATTAAACTAGAGTCTATCTTTATGTCTAAGGGCCAAAACACCACTTCTCCTTATTAATTCTTGCATAGCTCAAAGGATAAACCTCACCACATTATAAGACCTGTAGTTGTTTTTTTTTTTTTTTTTTTCTGCAAGGTCCATTAAAAAATAACAGCTGTGTCCAACTTTGAAAAAAATATTTCATTTTATATTTATTTAGTTGTTTAATCTTCTCATTTATTATAACTGGATTTAAAAGGGGGGTAGATCAACGTTTAATTTCAGCTTCTACGGATGATTTGTTAGCTCTTCACAAGCTTTGTTGGAGCAGGGCCATTTAACCTATTAATGATTATACATTCTTTTGTAGCAAATGTTTTCATGTTTCATCTTCCCACGCTTATCAGGAAGGTAGAGTCATACAGCCTTAACATAAAAAGCATTATCCTTGGAAAAAGCCTCTTTATCATTATCAAAGTATTCATGCGGCACAGGAATTTGACCAAAACAAACTGAAACTAGTACATTTCTGTAGAAGACAACAAAAGCCAAATTAACGTCATTACTTGTTTATGCGTCTCTTCCTCGAAGAACATAAAAGGCTCATAGCTCCACTTTTTGAATTTTTAAAGGAGCAACGGAAAAGTAGGAGCACAGCAGCCTCTAATCTTGAGAAGCAAGTTTTCGCACTGAGAAATGCAGAATAAAAAGCTGGTTGTCGCTTCATAGAATAAAGAAAATAGCTGCAAGCCCACTGCACGCCATCTCAACAGCACTGCAAGCATCTGGCCCTCTGCATCTTAACATTAAAACATAAGGCTTACTAATTAAAACTGTTGTATAACTTCAGCTAATATAATATTTGCCCTTTCAGAGATTTTTATATTGATATACAGTTTGCAAAACAGTAATTTTACACGCAGCTTAGTGCTCTAATAAAGCTTAACTTGAATTCCCTGAACATTTCTCTTGTAGATGTTTGTGATCATGTTTGCAGCGAACACAATTAGACATAACCATTTAACAATGTTCTCTCTAAAGCTGCCCAAAATCGGCAGATCAATCAAATTGGCTTATTTCTATATTTAACACTAAAACAGTCAAAAATGTTAACAATCTAGAAAATTCTTAAACATTTTGTTTTGAAGCTGAGAGAGGTTTTCTTTTTCCAGAAAACAACCTGGTTAAGCAGTTTGATTAGAATCAGCTAATTGGAAGCACCACTCATTCAGTGTGTTATAAGTGTTTGCTTTCTTCTAGGCCTCTCAGAAGACATGAAAATATTAATAAATCCAGATATTGTTGCTATGGTTATCAGTCAGCCAGAGAAAGCATTTGATAAATTTCAAGCAAAAGTACCTTATTTTCTGAGGAAAAAAAAAAAATGTCGCTACAGAGAGGTGAGGAAAAAAACATATACAAGTTGCATAGGAGTAGAAGGTGCAATTATTTAGAAAGTGTGAAATGTGGGAACTTTGTCCATGTTAATGGTTTTGTCTGAAGACCAGCATTTCCATAAATTTGTTCAAAAGCAAACTCACAGAAACTGTCATCTTTGGAGTTGTAAGGCCACTGTGTTCTATTAAGTCTAAAGTCCATGTAGCTCTCTCGCTGCAAATTTAAGAGCATTTAATGAGGAAACTTTTTTATGGATTTGCTGCTTTTATTTTACAGAAGGACCTAGCACCTTCCCACTCTGCCTGTATTTTATCACCAGCTATTGCTAAAACGAGATATGATAGGATGGGAGGTAGTTTCAGGTGTTGTTTCAGTAAGCAAAATCCACTGAATAAGAAACGAGCTGAAAAGATTGCAAAAGAAGAACAGTGGGATTTCAAACATGATTAAAAAGGTATGTTTAGATAAAGTAATAATAAACAGCTTTTTTTCCCAAAATATATCAGCCTTCATTATGGTTGATATTTGCCCTCTTTGATTTATGATACAACAAATATCAGAACTGGGTGCACAGGTATTTAAATGTTCTGTAATCTAATAATACAGAAATAACATCTATATGAATTGTGGTAAACTGGTATATTTAAAAGCCACATATCGTGATTAAAAGGTCTTTAGAACCAGTTTTTTCAGCTATATTCAGATTAATAGCTCCAAGTACTTATATTAATTTCCTCATCTGAAATTGAGAAGTTCATGAAGACTTTTGTTTTTAAAGTAGTGTAAAAGAAAGAACAAGGCAGCTGAGAGCAAACCGAAAATATATGTAACACTGAACTCGTGTATCAATGAATAAGTTATTGTGACAATATATAGGTATTGAGGATGTCACCAACTGAGATGGGTGAGTTGTGTTCCCCATCTCACTCAATTCCTTTAAGTTTGGCTTCAATTAAATTTCCCACGACGACAGCCCTTTACCCTCCAAAACTATCACTTTTAATTAATCCGACACAGGAGGCTGTGGTGTCAACGAGCGGCCACATTTGCATTTTTACATATTTTCATTAAAAAAAAAAAAGTTGCTTCCTATTTACAATCTAATCTTGCTCCTCTTCCTACGCCATTATCCGCAAAGGTCAAAAAAAATGGCACTTCAAAATTACACATCCGCTACTGGGAACAACTGAAGGACAAATTGGGATTTATTTGTCAGATTGTTTTTGGCACTAAAATCTGAGAAAATTTGCTCTTTATGGTTATAATCAGTCTCCCAGAGCACATGCAGACTTTAATGACAGCTTCTGTCTGTACTTTGTGTCCTTGCAGGTAAACAGCACTCCAGCTTGTATACGAGGGCTGACAAAAATGCTGTACTGTCCCTTTTGTCGTGGTTTGCCGGGAGTAAAACCCTGCAAGAATTACTGCCTTAACGTGATGAAGGGCTGCCTGGCAAATCAAGCTGATCTGGATCCAGAGTGGAACCAGTACATCGGTAGGTCAAACGTTGTCTCGGTCATTAACATTTGTACCTGCTGTTCTGTTCTTTCCATTTGAGCCAGTTACATGTGTTAATATGCGGCCCTGTGGGAGCGCCGCTCTGTACTGTGGTTGTATTTAATAAATGGATGCAGTTGACGCAGAGATGAAGCACAGAGCAGGTGATGTATAACAGGAGCTTTCAAGGATGAGACACTTCCTGGATTCAATTTTCACTTTGACAGCTACTACTGTTGCTTCTGTTCTCAGTGCTGGGTTTGGTTAATTCCAAATGTTTTTTTGGTTTTTTTCATGCGCTTTGAGGACTAATGTTTAATCAAAATGACATAAATTCAATGAGAAAGAAAGCAACCACTATTTATTTCAGTAGCACTGAAGCGAAGAAACATAATATTGTTTTAATACGTTTACTGCAACAACTGGAAAGTGTCTTGAAATAGATTATTGTATCTCAGTGGAATTATCTGACAATAAAAAAAAATAAAAGAAAAAAAGCTTAGAATTTGAACACATTCAGTCAGAAGGGGGAAAAATTCCTAACTTCAAGAATATTTCTCAGAAAACTTTTTTGTGAAATATCGTTGGTTATTTGGGACACTTGTATCTCCCACAATGAATTGAAGGTGAGGCCTAATTAGGATTCCTAACTGGACCCCGGTGAAAGATATCCAATTAGAAGAAGACGATGGATGGAAAAATAATTATACTGTCCCAAGGCATTAGACAGTAATTAGCAAATCACTGTTGCTGCAATCTCTTGAACCATTTAAAATGAATAAACATTTTACTGAAGTGTTTTGTTCATCAATATCTTTCTTTTGTAAAATATTTTTTCATGCTTCCCACTGGTATAACTTGCCAGAGCGGTCCTCTATCTTGGCTACTCTTATAAATTGTAAAGAGAACATGACATTCAATGTTTGTTGATTTTCATAAGTTAGAAAACAGCTAAATCTTAATTTCCCCTCACCTAAATGTGACCATATGTCCATAGAAAGCTCTAATTGCAAAATTTATTGAAGGGGATCTGTAACGGTATGGATCTATTTGGATAACCTGTCTGGAGTTCATGAAGTAATGGACCCTTTAATTTGAAATATTGTTTTTCTAGCTCTCAGAAGTAGCTTAAAAATGGCTAGAGGTTTCTCTCTTTTAAGTCTTATCTATATGGTACTATCACTGTACTCACAACCCTTAGGATACAGTGTTGGTGCTAGCTGACGTCAGTGCGCCTGGAACTGAGGATCTTGAGAAGATTGAAGGAATCATGAAAAATCATATGAAGATATCGAAAGAAACCTAAAGCGGTTAGCAGCAACACCGTAATGAACATTACCGACTGACTGGCTCAGAGGTCTGACTTGAGTCCCATTAAAAATCTGGAGTATACTGAAGATTAGCTTCTATGCCTGAAAGACGTCAAATCTGAAGAAGCCTGAGAGATTTGCACAAGAAGAATGGACTGGGGTTGGACACGGGTCAGAGAGTTTTTACAAACTACAACCAGTTATCTCAAGCTGTTATTAGCCAAAAAATGACACATTGCTGACAGTATATATCAGTTACCAAATTTGTCGCTTGCTACCAGTTTGCTCAACTAGATATTGCTATAGTTGATACCTGTAATTCTAAAACAACATATTTGTTTTGTGTTAACTTCCAAATATCGCAGCTGGTGTTGGGTTGTGCTGGTTTTTTTACTTTAACATCACACCCATAAATTCACGCCTGGCCTTCGAGCGAGATGTCAAAAAGGTGCTGTTTTTTTTTTTTCTGTCATTCTTCTCTCAACTCTTTTCTGCATGAAAAGATTTTATTCATGGGATTCTGCTCTCCTGCTGTGCTAAATGGTGACTGATTATAGGAAAGAACTGCACTGCAGGGGAATGTCAAGTAAACTGGAGAGAAGTTCAGAAGAAACTTGTCAGTTTGGGTGCAGAGAATACAAATATACATGTAATATTTATATATTTCAAGAAGATTTGATAGAACATCAAATGATTCTGTCAAACGTCCTTGGCCTGTTGAGCTCTACAAAGAAATATGTGATTGGGAAGTGGCAACCTTGAGAATCTGTGGCCGATTGAATTTCCACCTGAAAAATACAATTCTTTTAGCATTTATGACAGTAATTTTATGCAACTTTCCGATGATTTATCGGGGGAGAAAAAGTCACAAAGCACTTTTTTTTTTTCATTTTCTTATATTTGATTGCTAAGACTGCTTAGATATTTTCATCTTTAGATTTAATAATAGTTATATTTTCTGCCTGTTAATAGAAAAAAAAAATAGTGATTTAAGAATCTGGGATTTCTTGTTAACTTTACCAGATATTTGGGCTCCAAAAATGGTTTTAGATCTGATTACTGTAAATTATATCAATTTCTCTCTCCATCCAACTAATACTTATTTAAAGCACCATTTACAGGTGAAAAAGGGATTTTAATCAAACTACCAACATTTTAACACACAAGAAACAATAGATGTTTATCTCTTTACTGTACATATGCCAGTTGCTAAATTATTGAATATTTCTATGAATAACTGGTATGATTTTTTTTTTCTTTAGTAATTAGTTGTTTCCCTTTGGTATGCTTCTGCTGAATTTCGATTCTTCCGTGCTGCTCTGAGAACTTTTTCAGTTTTCCATGGATTTAGTGAGTCTCGCTGGCTTCCCTCAGCTCATGTAATCCCTCACTGACTCATTGATGCCAAGATCAGAGCTCTGTCGGGACCTACCATCTGTTGCAGAATTCATTGTTCTCCTTGTGACTGGAAATAGTTCACTCCTGGCTGCTTGTTTGGGGTCATTTTCATGTTACAGAATAAATTAGGCACCAATCATTTCATGCTTCTGCTTGATGGAATAATATTGGAGCATAAATATTGGAACAGTTCTGTGCATTGCATGCTAAGTGGTAGGAATCCTCAGGTTGCATCTCGCTACTGAAGTGATATTTGGTTACTGTGGGAGAAAAGCACAGTAACGGAGCCCCCCCGTATGTCAGTGTCATGTTTAGCTCATTAAGTGTGCATTAGCAAATTAACACATCAGCCTGATTCATTGCAACATTAGCAACAGAGAGCAATCGTACAGTCAGCTGCCTGATAGATGGGCTCACACACCTCTGAGCAGTTGTTTGTTGTTGTCCCCCGAGTGTGATTCAGTTTTTTTTCTGCCTGTCTTGATACAAGTTTCAGGTCAGCACTGGTCCATACTGTCTAATACCTTGGGACGGTATGGACCAGTGAGTCAGAACTAACTCTGAAAGGTGGGAGCACAGCAAAGACTCTGAGCTGATTCTCCTTGAGTTCTGTCATTTCAGGTTAGGCTGTATTTTTCTCTTTGTGTTTAGAAAAAACTGAGGTTTTAATAGAATTTCAATCAGGTTTTATCTGTGCAGAAATTGCCAAATTATGAAAGAATTTAGACTTCTCCTCCAAGGTTGAATTACAAAAAGACCAAGGAGTTTATATATATATACTTTTACTTTTCCTTTCTATATTTTGCATTGTGAGCGGCTGCACAGTGGCAGCATACAGCTGAAGTCCGAAGCAGAAATGATAAATTATTAGATTTCAATTTGCTTCCTTATATTTCGGTGTGGTATTTGAACAGTAGCATCAAGTGCAACTCACAGCTTTATTAGCTCATAGCAGAGCTAATAGCTCAACCAAAATGTTTTGACGCTGGATTTTATTTATTCTTTATGAAAGTCCAATGAAAACCCAGAAAAATCAAGAAAGGTCAGCAAATAAAATGATGACTTTTACTTTGCATCTTTTGAAAAAGATTTTGTATCGGTGACAATCTTGCAACAATAAAAGTATTGACCTGCATCAACTACGTATTCAACTGACAAATTACTTCCTTTTAATCAGTGTGTCAAACATGAGTCTAAATGTTAAAAAGGAAAACCTTGTCTGACCTTAAAATGGATTAAGGAGCTTTAAAAAATAAATGGTAGCAGGTTTATTATCAGTAGATCCTTGGTGAGCATCTTCAGCACCTCACATGAAACTACTTCAGCCTTCATAAAATAAACACTTAAACCTTTCCCTGACCTAGTAGGGCATAATCAGATGTTTTATCTACCATGTCATTTTTGAAATGGTAGGCAGAGCTACTACTACAAACTACAGTGAGGGGACTCTGCACCTACATTGCAGTTTGAAGGGACACTGTTAGAAAAATGGTAAGGAAATTAAGGTGACGGAATCATAAAATCACCTAAATATATTCATGTTGACAGTAGAACATAGTCAACTTCATTTTCATAGAATAATTCAGCAACCTTAGAAGTTTTGCACATTTTTTTCAGCATCTTACACGCCTCTTTGATGGCTCTGGAAGGTTTGTTGCTGTCATGTTGTTTGCAGAGGAAAATCAGGTAATATCACAACATGGGAGACGGTACACATCTGGCAGCAACTCATTGATCCTACTTTAAAAACAAATCCAGGGGTCCCAAGAGGCACGCAGTTCAGTAGGCTGATTCATGTTCTTGCCACAGCCAGCAACATGAATCAGTGGAGGAAAAAAAAAAAAAATCTCATATGGGACGTTCAAGCAACAAAAGAGATTTAGATAAATTCTAATTCTGATTGGTGCGTAGGAGGTTTCATTATGTTAAAAAAAAAAGACCTCTTACATACTCCACAACATAAATAAGGCATCTGAAAAATGTGAGTGCCTTGGCTACAGTTTTTGCCCTCTCTGACTTTTCACTGAAAGGTGACTGGAAAGTTGTTCTTCCCCCCCCCCTCTTCCTGAGCCAATTACCTCTGAGTCTCTGCAGACGAGCCAGCAGGAGGTGCTGGTATTAGCTCCAACATGTGTTGCACAGTACTTGGCCTACAGTGTTATCCACTCAACTTGCTCAATGCTAGTGTTAAGTAATAATTAGAAAAAGCTCAAGCGTTTCCACTAGCTTCCTTTGCTAACATACCACAGGGAAATTGTTACCATGGCAACCAGTTTCAGTGCATTTCTCC